AGGAGCACGGTGTTAGAGCACCAAGTGATCTGTGCGAAATTATAACCATAAATACACTTCAGGCTCTGCTTTAGAGCCTCTGCCAAGCAGCTCCACTCTTGTGTTTCATTCCCTGTGCCCCCTTTCCTCTCTCTGAGGCTGTAGCAAAAGAAATGCAAATAATTTTGCTGATAAAGATCATGAGCTGCCTGGTTTTGATGACTTTCTGAACAAAAGGAAGTTGCTGTATTTCCCTGGGGACTCGTCTGAAATACTGCTGCAATCAACGGGGAAAATATTGAGTGGCGCAACACGTGCTGAGCTTCTTGGTTATACAGATACAGTTTATAAAATTCCAGGTACAATTCACTGCAGTTCAGCACTGCTGGACATCTTTACTATGGTAAAAAAGTACTTAGCAAATGAAAGAATTATTTGCTCAAAGCAGAATGAAAGGTGTCTCTATCCATAAGCCTCTGTTCCTTCGTGTAGGCACCAGTTTTTCAGATGACAAATTTAGCAAAAATGAATGGTCCGTTTTCTAAATACACAGCCTGTACTTTGTGAGGAAACATTCCTAGAATATCTTCCTCAGAAGAAGGCTGGAAATCATTATCCTACCCAGATCTCCCATTTCTGTTCCATTTTCTCTTGAGGTGCAGGACCAACGATGCAAGTCCCTCAATGCCACTGGAAACAGGCTCATCCTGCAGCTCTGACCCGGAGGAGAAGGAAGGTTAATAAATCCCCTTTCCTCAGCAGATCTCCCACTCCACGTTGCACAACAAAAGGGAACTCCAAGTGCACTTTTTGGGGTGTATCTTCAGCCAATTCCTCCATGGCACAACCTTAGGGAGCTGCGAGTTCTCTGTGTGCAGATGGCAACACTGGGAAAAAGAGTCAGAAAAAGGCAAAGCTACCAATTTCTGGGAACAGAAATCCAACTGTGTTGATCATTTCCTTCCCAAATATAGAATTATAAAATCATAGAATGGTTTGTTTCCAATTCCAGCTGCCCTGTTCCAGACAAAGACACCTTCCACTGTCCCAGACTGCGCAAAGCCCCATCCAGCTGGCCTTGGACACTTCCAGAGATGGGATAGACACAGATTTTCTGTTCCTGTGGCTCCCTTTCAGTTTGAAGCCATCCCTCCCTGCCCTGTCACTAAAACCCTTGTAAACATTAAAATTAAATTAATTAAAACCTGAGCAGAGAGCTCAGAGAGAACATTGTGAGAAAACCACACAGACCCCACTCATCCCTTACCTTGGATGACAATGGTGCACCAAAGAGTTTCATTGGGAAGTCTTTGCAAATTTAGACCCAAAATCCCAGGCTGAATTCCTGGATCTGCTGCTAAAGAACTCTTTAATAATTTAATAATCCCTGTGATGCTGAAAATCAGGATTTTTTGTGGTGAGAATCGCAGAATGTGGCACAGGTGGCACCAGGTGTGACTTGGACAGGCTGGGACAGCAGAGTTTCTGTAGCTCTAAATAAAATCTTAAAGAAATATCTCTCCTGATAGTCCCATGCTTTCATCTTGATGAAATTTATGCTTGACTTTCCTGCAGTAATTTATAGGTTTTTTTTTTTAATAAAGAAGCAGCCTCTACTGGAGAGCAACCCAAAGGGAGAGATTTGTTAGCACAGCCCTGATTTAATTGGTTACACTGAGGTTTTGCACTTTTACAGGTGGTGGAGGAAAAGTGAAAACAATGACAAATGAATAAATTCCAAGTGCACAAGAAGTATTTATTTCTCTGTTTACAGTTTCCAGTCACAGAAAATGTTGTGTCTATTGATCCTGACATTCTGTGTGCCAAGGATGAGTTATTTCATCCACTGCTCCTCAAGCACTGCTCCACACCTTCCTGACAGAAAAAAATATTTTAAAAGTGTTGCCTGGTCATCTTTTGAGGTTTAAAGGCCAGGTGATCTACTGCTCTGAGTTCTCATTAAAGGGACTGGATGGCTCTTTGATGACACACCAGGAAAGGGGAATATATGGCAATGCATCTGCCTGTCTTTATGTCTGGCTCAGTTCAACTGCAGGAAAAAAATCCCCACACCCAAAAAATACGTCCAGCAGAAATAAAGTGTCACAAGATAGAATTAATTCCATCAAAGTTAGGCACAACTCCCAAAATTTGTGTGATTTTCAGGCACTTGCAAAATTTTTTACCCCACAAAAGAATATTATCTACAATTATATGGGAAAAAAGAAATGGAAGCTCTGACCTTCATAAACTTTACCAGGATCTTTGCCTGATTTTACTAAGAAGATTATTCAGGTTTTGGATAAACTCATAAATCTAAACTCTATCTATAAGGTAGAGCAAGAACTGCACACAACTAAGAGAAACAAATGGAATTTTGCACACAGAAGGAATTGAGCAAAGTTTGCTTCCATTTGTATTTAGAGTAGTTCATTAAGGTTATTAAACAGCACAACAGCACTGGGCCATCATTTTTATGCCATTAATGCACCAAAAATGGTGGAAGTTTATAGTGAATATAAATGAGTGGAAAATTTCTCATTTGGTCCAACAAAGTTCCCTGAATTGCACAAATGTCCATGATGGAGCTGGAATATTACAAATATGGAGTTCCTAATATGGAAGCCCTGGAAAGTGACACAGTAAATGACACACAATTTACAAAGTAAACAGTAGGATTTTTTCCCCCTAAGTTGTTTCTTTAACTTCATTGATTAGCAATTCATCATCCTATTTAAAATTCAATATTAACAAAATTGTAATGGATCAGCCTGACTCTGAAATCAATTCCATAGTCATGGCCATGGCCTGTTATGAAGTAATGGCAATGCTAATTTTATTCTGCCAAATGTAAATTGAGTGATTTATCACACCATTATACACTCACACCACTCCCTCAATTGGTTTCAAAATAAAAGGAGGCCAAAAAAAGAAAGCTCAGGGTGACAACTCCTCATTTCTGAATTAAGCAGCAGTGAGTTTAGCCAGCCAATCCATATGAAACGCAACAGAGGATTTTAAGGAAGGAGTCAGAACCTGATCCTGCAGGTCACTGTGGCCTCCCTAGTGGTCCCTGAGAATGGATAAACCCTGAGAATTATTGGGTTTCATGTCAAGTGAGAACACAACCCTCAATTTCTGCCACATTTCAGGAAGAAATGCGACAGAATATAATTTTTTATATTAATTTTTTATTATTTCTTATATTTATGTTTAATAAATATAATGCAGGACTGAGAAACAGAAAAGTTTCAGTTCTGTCCCTGATTCAAGGCAAACCTGCTGGCTCAGGTTGCTGCTTTATGGTGAAAGAACATCCCACAAAGACATTTTGGGAATTATTGGAGATTTAATTAAGGAAACTTGCTGAACCTAAAGCAGGGCTGCTCACAGGTGTTGCCCTCACCATCCACAAATTAACAATTTTTAGAGCAAATGTTCCTATCAGCAGCCCAACAGAACAAGCTAAACTGAGTGGAGCTGAGTTAGAAAATCCAAAACATCCCCAAAATGGAGCCTGATGGAACCAAGGGGGTTTTGGCAAACTAAAGGCAGGAAAACACAACCCACCATGGCCAGAGCAGGCAGGAATGGTGGGGCAGGTCAGCCCTACCATAAATCCTTCACTAAACACAGATTTCCACTGGCTGGAATAGCAGGAAAACTTCTTTGGCTGTGAGCAGAGAGCTGGGACAGGCCCTGCCACCACCCCCAGCACAACACCAGCTGTCCTAAATAAAGTGCTTGGCCTGAATTTACTTCTAGGAAAAAAAAAAAAACCCAAACTATTTTGTTTACAAAGCACAAAAATGCCCCAAGTTTCAGCCATCCCTAATTGCTGTTGTGAATCATCTTTTCCAGGCCTTTTTTGTATTCTCTATATCTGTCTCTTACCCCTACTTATTGCATATCTAATTTGCTGTGAACAGAAGAAGCAAATAATATTACAGCTGCTAAAGGAGTGGGATGCCTGAAAAAGTCCAGCCATTAATGTTTTGTATTAGGGAGATTTCAAGGGGTTTGACTGCTGGCATTATGCAAAGTAAAGTCATTTTAGTCACTGCTTTGGTGGCTGCCACATTTTCACAGGGACGTGCTACACAGCCTGGGGCATCTTCAAATAATGATAAAAAAAAAGTCAAAATTAAAGTTATTTGAGTTATAATTATGTAAGAATCACTCTAAGCCAACCCCAAATGATAACATGTATTAAACTTAAGTAAGAGCCTGGATTATTGACAGAAGCCTCAGGGATTGATGTGATGCTGTGACAAATAAGCAGAAGGACAATTGTTTAAAAAGCCACATGAATGACTTATTTGATTATAATGTTGGCCCTCTGTAACCTCGTGTTTGTTCCACTTTTTTTCCCCCTAATTATTCCTGGTAGAAGGAAATGCCTGAACCAAGTCCAGGATAATTTTTGAACCCAATTTTTACATATTTGAACCACAACCAAGTGCATAGGAAGGCAAAGAGTGAGTGGGTATTCCTAGAAAACTTTTGAAAGTGAATATACTCAGTAAATTTGCAATACCTTTGTTGAAGGCTGGAACTTTTTTATTTTTTATTTCAGTAAGCTGAAAATAAGAGGGATGAGAATGAAATACAGTCTGCCCTTGAAAAATGCAGGAAAGGACAACAAAAAGGAGCAAAGGAGGAGTGCAGGAATCCAAGCTAAGGTGGGAATAAAAATAAAGGAAAAGGGAAGGGGAAAAGGAGAAAAGGAAAGGAAAAGGAAAAGGAAAAGGAAAAGGAAAAGGAAAAGGAAAAGGAAAAGGAAAAGGAAAAGGAAAAGGAAAAGGAAAACACATCTGCAATCCCAAAATGCAGCACAAGACCAAGAAAACATCTGTGTGATGAATTTATTTCTCACTGATGCACTGAACCTAAACCTTTACATAATACCTGGAGTCTTTTCATTGATTTCCATGGGTCTGAGCTCCTCATTTCCTTTCATCCCATCCTGCTAGTGCAGGAAGTGCTCTGAATTGCTGAACTACTTAAAATTTTACCTTTCTGCCAGGCAGAGTGGACAGGACTGGATTGCAGCAGGAGAGATTTGCTGTTGATCATCTTCTTTTCTTCCAGCAGCATTTCAGTGTGATGGCAAAACTCAGTGTGAGCAAAATGGATTAACTGGAGCAGTTCTGCAACTGAGGCAAAAAGCCTGTCAGAAAAAAAAAAAAAATAGATATGTTTTGCCAAATACTTAGATTTTCACTGAAGCAAAGGGTGAAGCTGAAGTTACTTCTCCCAGTGCATTCAGAGAACCTTTTGAAGGGCTAACACAGTGTGCTGTGTGCCTGATAAAATCCTCCCAAAGCTGTAAAAAAGCAGCCTTTAACAATTTCCAGTGAACTTCT